CGCAAATTTTTCCTTTGTTACTTGGCTCACTTGTTTGTAGCGCCTTTCCTCTCCTCCCTTCGCCCCACACAGCTCATTATTATCACGTGCACTCGTGCATGCCACTGCTTGTTGCAAACTGTTGTCATACATACATTCATGCAACCAGAGTGCCACTCAATAGCACATTAGCAACATTTCTTCCTTTGTTCGCTTCACACTCAGCTCTTCAGCTGCTGTTTTTCTCGCTTCCTTTACTACGCTTCTCCTTCGCATTGTTGCCCTTGCATATACCTTGGCATTAGAGCGCAGCCACATGCCAATGCGTGCAACACATTTACGCGAGTATGTCTGTTTGTATGTAGCACAGCTGCTTGCGCATCGAATGAGGAGTGCTCCTCTCAATAGCGGTTAATAATGTCTTCTGACAACGGCATTATTGAGTTTTTGTTGTTGCTGATGGCCGCTACAAGTGATGCTTATGTTGTGGCCACTGAAGGGCAGCTGCCACAGCTTTCACCTTGCATTGTGGCACGCAGCAGCTGCCAGTCGTCTGTCTGTCTCCCTCCCCTCATCTGTGTGTGTGTGTGTGGATGTGCGAGTTTGCAAATGTTCGTCTCTCTGTTTCCCATTCAATGTCAAGGCTTGCCAAGTGGCTCGAGTAAACCGAGAAATGTTGGCTAGTCAGCGGCTATCCATTCTAACTTGTCGTTGTCCTTGTTGTATTTGTTGTTGTTGCATTCTTTGTTTCCTTTTTCTGCTTCCTATTTTGATGTTGCTTTTAATTCTGTTGCACTGTGGCCAATATGAAAAATAGACGTGCAGCTTATTGAAATTGAAACCTTTACCGCAAATTCGCTTTTATTTGCCGGCGTGCCAGTCAATACACTAACACATCTTTATGCGGTCGGTTTTTTTAGTTTTTTTTTTTTGCATTTGTGTGGCTACAAATTGATTTTTTATAATAGATCCTCTCTGCCTTCAAGTGCTTCCATCGAGTTCCGCTTGGCAAGTAGAATCAGCGCCGATTTTTATTTCATTCAATCATTGCTATTGTAGTTGTTGTTGTTGTTGGTGGTTGTTGCACATTGATTGGGATTAATGATTAATGCTCACAACAAGCAAACAAATAAATAGATATATTGAATAACAAATGTTCATTGAAAAGTTGTTTATTGCACCCAGCAACCAGCAATCGCTTTGTCTGCATAGAAGTCGCACACAGCCGAGCTTACATACATACATACATACATATGTATATGCATGCCCATACACTCCCACAAATGCCATGCATACTCACATGCAAGCATTCCTGGCGCACTTTTCATCTACATATTTAGAAGCGATGCATTGAAAAGCGTTCAAGCGTGCGAGTTTTCCTGGCGTACATAATCATATTTAGAATGCTGCTTGCTACGCGGATGTATGTACAAACATTGGGGTTGTCCAAAAAAAAGTACATTCGGAATTGTAAATGCTCTCACCCCCTAGGATTGTTCTATACCAAAAAAATAGACCCCTATTTTTTATTTTGAAATCAAAAAATATTTACAGGCGCTCAAAGTTGTCCATGTATTTTATATGGGAAAAAACGTTTCAAAGAAATTGTATATAATTCTGGAAATTCCATATTTTTCGATCGGAAAACTCTGGTTCTCTTCAGAAGACTTCCAAAACCAAAACCCAATTGTTGATTTAACCACCCTAATGTACATAAACTGCCGGAACAAAGTATTGGCACAGCAAATTTTTCACAGTATATGCAACAATTTTCATTCTTATATTTTTCCGCTAATTTCATATAAAAATATGGTTCATTCTACAACAAAAAAATATAAAAATGTAATTCCTAAACTTTGTGCAAAACTCGCGAATATTCAGCAAATTTTCATGAAACTTTTAAATTTTTTAATCAGATTTTTTAGAGTATGCACATTTGTAGCCCAATAAATTTTATTATAATAAAGTACAAGTTTTAAGTAGCTAGGAATTACCGTTGATTTTTGGAATTTTTTTTTCACACAAAAATTTACAAAATTTTTTTTTTCGAAAATACTTTATATGGAAAAACTGCAAAACACCTTCAACAAAAAAAATTCTAAAAATTCAACGCGATTTTTGACTAACTCCGAGCTTGCATTTTTTTACTAGAATTCAATGGGCTGCAAAACTGCATACTAAAAAAAAATTCTGAAAAATCTGATTAAAAAGTTGAAAATTTTGGTGAAAATTGGCTGAATTTTCGCGAGTTTTGCACAAAGTTTAGGAATTATATTTTTATGTTTTTTGTTGTTGAATGAGCCATATTTTTATACGAAATTAGCGGAAAAATATTAGAACGAAAATTGTTGCATATATTGTGAAACATTTTCTGTGCCAATAATTTGTTCCGGCACTGTACATACGTATACAAATGTGTTGCTGCTACAGTACTGTTGACTTTGTAATAATTGCCGAGCTGTTGCACTTGTTGAAGGCAAAGCAGCAGAATTCCTTAGAAATGCTTCCGAGAAATCACAGCTTAGATTGAAGGTGAGCTCTTTGAAGCATTGACTCTGGGAAAATGCGGTGAAGCGGTAGGCAAAATAAATCAAAATTATAATGAATAAGGACATGAACAGTATGAATACATATATGTATGTACATGTGTGTGTGTGTGTATGTGAGAGCACAAGGACTTAGACACTACTTTAGTGTGCACTTTTATTAAAAAATTACTTATAATTATATATAAATACTTACTAATTTATATCAAAGGTTGGCACTGGAAAGGCGATTGATTTAAGTAAACATCTTACAGAAGGCTAGTTTTTTTATTACATTTTCAGAATCTTAAAAAACCATCAACTATTTTTTTTTTTGGCTTTAGCTGGTGTCCCAAAAAACTCCAGCCATTCGCACAAAAGGAAGCAAATCACGGCTTCAATAAGGTGGGTCTTCGTTGGCTGTTGCTGTTGTAGCAGCTTATCTAATCCTGCCTAGATCTGCTTGTGTCCTAGTGGTGCAATTTGTGTGCGCGTCTCCCATGGCTGAGAAAGTTCTGTCTCATCCACATCATGTGGTTTGTGCTTCAAAACGGCATTCCTGGTCGGTAATAGGTGTAGATTGAATCCGACTGTCTGCGAATTCCGTTAATGGTCTGTCTGTACGCTGCCGGATCCAGTGAAACTCTTCTGTCAGTTGGTATAGATGCCTTCTGACGCGCCTTGTCGAGGGCTCTGCCGCAAGCAAATATCCGTTCGGATTCCCACGTCCGTGGCTGTGTGTAGTGTGGTGTTTTGGCAGGTATGTATGCAGCTGCGTCCATGACGTCCTGCTAGTCCCCGGCGAGCACACAGGCGTTGCATGGTTTAGAATCGGCTGGCCAATTGCCCTGCATGTTGCCAACAACGTTTCTTTGTCTTTGCCACAGGTGCTGACGGCTAGCGAATTAAAGCTGCTGCTGAAAAGGGGTGCCGAGAATTTCGTTGGAGAGAGGGTTAGGCTCCTTGCAGTGAAAAACCGAGACAGTGCGCGAAGAGGTAACCGTTTACTTTCGAGCACAAGTCATCAATTCCATTTCCGTGCGTCATTATAGAGCAATCGTCAGCATGTGAGATGATGGAGACTCCGTCTGGTGGTTGAGAGAGCTTCGAAATATAGTAATTAAACATAATCGGGAAATGTCTACCACCTTGCGGATCTCCTGTTTAACTCTTCTTAGGTTTGACGCTGACTCTGTGGGAGAGTGGAAGCCTTAATGTTCTCTAGTAGCGTGTAGTGGTAGACGGTGTCAAACGCCTTTGGCAGATCAACGCTACTAGGACTGTTCTCTCACCGGGCGGTTTCGGTTAAGGCCACGGGCTATCTGAGTGTTTATGGTGTTAAGGTCTGTTGTTGTGCTAGGTACTTTACGGAAGCCATGCTGTGGCCTCGCTGGTGTCGGTTGGTACGTGAAGTGGTGGAGTAGTAAGGCCTCTAGTGTCTTCCTTGTGGCCCTGTTTATCCGGTTTTAGCAGTAGGACACTCTCCCCGTTTTACAGACATCCAGAACGAAAAGAGTGACCATAAACACTGCTACGCCAGAGATGTAATTGCTTGTCTTCGGGTGATCCCACTCCTTTCGCTTGTATTGGTTTACCAGTTTCCGAATCTCCGAATTGAGAACCCTGATGCCGGATTTTCCTGGTTCGACCTGGCAAAGTTGGTCGCGCTCGTTTGCTAAAGAACAGCCGCGTCAGCTGGGAAATTTGGGCGGGTTTCCGCATTACGTCTAGCGGAGATGAAGCGGTATGTAGCAGCAGTGATAACCCGGAATTTACGTTCGCCTGCATGAACGTTGGTTGGTATGGGAAGGGCGGCGAAGGCGCTATCGGTAACATCCGGAAAACCATTGTTATATATGATGTATGTATGTTCGGTGTTCCGCGGAAGAAAAGTCGGCTGATTTATCATCGCGACGAATATGATGCAATCGTCAGCATAGGTCACCACGTTATACAGTTTACCCAGGCAGACGTCACCACTGTTTCAGCAAAGTGATTCTTCGGTGGTAGAATTCGTCGTTGTAAATAGTTTGTTTCTACTGAAATGGCACTCACTAAACACTGCTAAGGGACTTCTGTTGTTGCCTAGCAGTACCATTCGATAAAAAAAAATTATAGGGCATTTGAGAATTGGATACACATTCCAACAAGGCAAATGAAATAACAAAAAAGTGGAATAAGCTGCCTCAGATGTTGCATACTTCTCGGCGCACCAGAATTTCAGTTTGCCAACTTGCACGGTTTTTTTTAACACATTTTATTACTCCTAATTCAGGATGTGTCCACAGTCTATTTCCTCAGATTAACAGCATTCGTTTTCAGTAACATCCATTGTTTTACTAAAGCGATTGCTTTAATATAATTTCTAGGTAAGCGGCTGTCTTTTATGTTCTACGGGTGAAAAGATCTCCCGCAAATAAATATTTTCACAAAGAAAATTCGTTAACTGAAATTCAATTAATTTTACATTCGCATATTTGCTTTTTTAAATTGCAGACACCCGCCATATGGACAAGCGATTTTAACGGAGCCAACAAAAAACAAGCAAGCAAATTAATAAATATCGAGAAAACATTTGCAATTTGCCGAGAAGAGTAGTGTGACAGTTGGATGCACAAAGAATTGAATTCACTGAGTAATAAATATTTTAATAAAAACCATTGCGACGAGCAGCACGACTTACGCGCACGTGCTGCACCCATACACATCCGCATACACCTACAGCAAACCGAGCCCACATATGCATGAAAGTTTTAACCCACCAAAAGAGAAAATAAGAGCAAAAAAGCATACACCAGAGCCAAAAACACCAGCAATCCAGAGCGAGAAAGTGCGTGGAGGCAGTCGAAAATGACTGGCTGCGAATAAATGCTGACAATGACAATATCCGAAACAGCGGAAACGGATGTCAGTGCGCAAACAAATGCAAACACAGTAGAAGTGGCTACGGCAACAACAATAACATAGAGGTCACTGCAGCTGTGATTCCCTTCCACCACCGACCATCGACCCTCGCTCCTTGCAACGCAACGCGAATCTGAAGCCGCCGGCCATGCCGCTTACACTGGATGCGCGCACGAGCGCGACAACTTTCGCCAGCGCCGGCGCAAGCCATCAATTATTGGGCAATGCCATCGGCGACCACAACAACATCGCCGACAACAATGCGGATGCGGCCTTTTCCAACAATTTGACCGCCACCATCACATCAATACGCTCGAATGTGACGCGCGTGCTGTACATGTACTTCCAGAATGTCACAGACGAGCATGGCTATGGGGCGGCTACAACGCCTACCACCACTACAACAACTAGCAACAGCAGCAGCATCAACATCGCGACAACCACAGAAAGGCTTTCGAACCTCGACGCTAGTGCAACAGATGCGTTGATTGGCGCGGCTGTAGATGCGACGGACCAACGCGCCGGTTCTACGCTGCTTGGCACCGCCAAAACATTGCTGCAAGCGCCGCTTAACGCATCCAGCACTACGACCGGCTTCCTAACGTCAGCGTCCGCTAATGTTACGCGTGCGGCGTCAACGCTAGTCAATGCCACTGCTTATATTTCGTCCTCTGCTGCCGCCTATGCCACCGAACTGCTCAATGCGACGTCGACAACAACAACGACAACGACATCGGCGGCAAGTGGCATAGCTAGCGCGAGTACGAGCGCAGTGAACGGCAGCAGTGTTTTAACCACCGCGCCCAGCATCATTTACCCGCCCTATCAGGTCGCCATACGCAGCTTTGAGAATTGCTCGGCGCTCTTTGCCAATTATACGCGACCGCAAAATGGTAAGTAGCCACAGTTGTCATAGCAGTAACCAATATCAGTTTACCGCAACGGGCAACAAATGCGGAATTATGTAGGAGCTTATGCCTGATGAAGCGGTCAGCTGCAATTGTTGTTGCCGATGCAGTTTTTTGTTGTATTTTGAGGTTATTTTATGCCTTATTATGCAGAGTATTAAAGTGGAGGGCAGGACAGGACAGGGTGTGCAACGGTTTTGCTTTGATCAGGCCGGTGAGGTCAAGCGCACACACATACAAGTACGTGTGCATGATTTTTGGCGCTGATTGTCACCAATGACAGTTTAGCGATGATTTATTAATCTGCGAGACAGCTGCGTGCGTTGAAAGTTAACACTTTCGCTGACCTTCGTGAATCTACATATATACATACATACACTCATATTCTTCCATGCTTCCACATATGTATGTATGTACGTATGTATATTTATGAACTAAGCCACTCTTAATACAGCGCATCATTTTCAAATGGCCGCTGCACAGTGGTTCAAGACTTGAATTTAATGTTCATAATTTACTGGAGCCTTCATTTTTGAACCAATTTCGTTAACTTGAGCCCGATTTTCTAATTTTCATTTCCTTGTGTTAAATTTTTTAGTGCAAAGTGCAGAAAAAGCTGCAATTTTAAAGAAAATCGATTCTCCTGTTCCAGTCAATAAATGTTTCATAATAAAAACTAATTGAAAACAATTGGAGAGTTCCCCAAAACGAAACAAATTCACAAGAAAAATTTGAAATGTTATTAAAAAAAAATTTATTCAAAATAATTTTTTTTTTTATGCTGGATTTCCACTAGGCATTAAATGGCAAAAATGACAAATGACAAAGTTGGGCATTAAAAAATATTCGTGTCATTACGTTAAAAAAATTTGCCTTAGTTTTTGGAAAAAGTTTGGTTATGCAGTTTTATAGATAGTTAGTATAATACAGTGCAAGTTGCAAGTGGGTAAGAGTTCGCGTTGATTTTTATTAATTTTTTTCGATAACCATTCGAGCACATCTGCGTGTTGCGTAGTTTATATTCTTATTATATTTATATATTGTTAAAAATCAACGCGAAATTATGAATAGTAAATGCCCGATTTGAACCACTGTGAGCTGTGAATGATGCATATTTAACGAGTATGAAATTTGCTTCTGTTACATATCTTTTGATCCCGAATTTGATTGATGATATGCTTGATGGGTAGCTTGCGGCCATTCTAATCAATTTTGACCAATCACGTATGGCTATAAATAAAATAAATAGTATCAATTAGTTGTTGATAGTTTTTTAAATTGTATGGCAGTCGAGGAGATAATTTGACGCGTGTAGCAGCTAATGAATGTGGAAGATTAACTGTATTGTTCAGTGTATTTCCTACTTCTAAATGAGAGTCATCTATGCTAAATGACATTGTTTAATAAAAAAAAAACAATCAAAACATTATAATCGAAAGTAAATCAGACCGCACATCTTACCTAGCCGAACCTGCCATAACCTAAGCTAATCATAAGAATTATTAAACTTCCATCTTTAGCAACCTCGTTCATAAGTTCTGAGATTTTTTACACTTCTCCAAACTTATCTGCCCTCAGAATCGAATTCTACTTTGCTTCAATGCCACAACACAAACCTTCAACTATTAATCTCTGTCTATCTGAACGCATAACCGCATGCTGCATGCCAAATGTGAATTTTCGAATTGAAAGCAATTGCAACACCTTGGTAAAGTGACAGAAGCATTAAAGCTTGTTAGCAAACGAATTAACAAAGTTATCGGACAGCTTGGTGGCATAAATCACACTGCTTTCCTAGGGTATTAGAGTGGCAGGTTTGATTTGTTGGTGGCATATTTGATTGCTCGGATGACCGCAGCTGGCGTTACACTATCGGTGCAGCCAGCAGCGGCGAAAGCTGGCAAGAGTAGCAGACGGGCCCGATAAATGTGAAGATTGCAGGATGATGTTGTAGCAATGATGGCTGAAGAAGTATGCCGGATACATGCCACAATAGCTTAAGCTTGCCAATGCCTTTTGCATACCCAGCTCGTACAATTTTCCAGCTTTTAATTGGAAATTTCGACAATTCCCAAAGGAAGCACGGGGTAGAGAAGCCAGAGAGTGAAGGCATTCCAACTGAGGCAGTTACAGCAGTAGAGCCGCATTAATCGAATCAGCAAAAGCAGTGTAAAAATCAAGATTGGTTGGAGCTTAACTACTGGAATTTGGACGGTCGACACGTTCGCATTCTCAGCTGCCAACTGTCTGCCTAATATAGCCATTTGCCTAACTTCAACCACTGCAGCTTAAGTACTGCGTAGCTTCACTATAGGCTTAAGTTTTTTTTTGACAAAACCACAAGCATGTTCTGCTCCTAACACTCTATGCCTGCTGCTGTCCTTCATTTCAATCATATGCAAATCAAATGTGGCTTAGAAAAAGCAATCGACATAAGCGGAGTACATCAATGCACCTCAAATAGGTTTGGTACGCCAGTGCGTATGAGTGATTTGATTTTCGCCATCTGACCGCTGACTTGGCAGGCGATTTTTTGACCAATTCAGCTTTTCTGCTGAGCAAACGAGTAAGCTATTTGCTACACATGCTGGAAAGAAATGCTTGCCTGTAACTGTTATTTTCTTTTCAACATTTCATTGGCAATTCTCTTGAAGGAAGCAGCAGATGATGAAGAGGTGAGAAAGTTCTTTGAATATAGTACTCTGAATAAATATGTAGCCTTTTGCTGCTTGTTGCTTGTCACATGCCGACACACGTCGTTGCACAGAAATTGCATTTGACGCATCAACTTTTTCATCATCGTCGCCAGAGCCAAGGCACTTGGCATTCAGGCAACTCGATTAAGTTTGTGGCTCGGCAATGATGTGGAAGGGCAATGATTTGAAAGTCTTTTAAAGAAGATGAGCTATGGCGCATGCAGGCACGTTGAGCTGACTAGGAAGTTGAATATGGAAGAGTTCAGCTGTCAGACAAGCAGACTGTGTGCAGATGCTTATTTACGGAAAGTCTACCTGCTGCTTAGGCAAATGCGTGAATTTGTGGTTTCCGAAAGTGTCTGAATTATAGTGAATAACTACAATCACAATCCGGGTCGAAATTTCATTCGTAACATTTGCAAATCCAACAGAATTCAGCCTCATTAGCAAGCAGGTCAAGGATGCAGGATATCAAATGTTGCGACAGACATGCATCTCCACCCTCGAGTACATTCTCAATTTCATAAGTGCTTAAGCAATATACAGCTGTTAGCAAGCGTATAACTGAAAATTCTCAATATACACACACACACACTTTGACAGCGGCCCAGTGAAGCGCTTGGTAGCAATTTGCCGCCAGCGATTTAGCTCAGAGATAGCCTTGATTGCGTAGAAATTTTCAAATGCATTGACCCAAATAATGAAGTCAGTGGAGGAATCGAAATGAACATCAATAAAAAAAAATTTAACAATGGCTCATTGCATTAAGCGGCAGGTAATCAGCCATGTGGTAAGGGAAGGTGGGCGGTTTGAAAAGGAGTATAGGCTGACCGAAGCATAGAGCAAAAGAGTAAAGAAGTGTTGGCGCTGGCAGAGTCATTTATCAAAGCGCATCACGGCTGTCATTGCAATAGTAAAGGGCTGCAAAAGCAAATATTTAGCGTAGTCACTCACGGTTTGGAGCGACCGCGGTCAACGTTGACTATTTTCACTCGGGCGACGCAACAATTTTAAGCGTTTTTTTTTTTACTTTTTTCATTTATTTTTTTACAGTGACTTAAACAAGTGATCGCTTGAAACTTGCACTTCACTTCACAAATATTGTATGGGCTTTTATAGTACATACCAAAAAAAAAGTTCTAAAGATTTAGAACTAAAAGTTTGAGCGTTTGATTTATTTGGTTTTGGTTAAAGCTTGGACAATATTTTTATATAAAAAAAAAAAGATTTAACTAGAAAAACATTGTGAATATTAAAAAAAAAAATCAACACGTGGTCACTTTTTTGAATCACTGTTTATATTTTTCTTTAATTTGCCTTTACTTTTTTCAAATAGGCATGTTTCTACTTTTATTATTTGTTCACATCGTAATTGGGTCATCGCAGGTCATTGTGCTAGCTAGCCAGCCAGCCAGCTAGCAAGCAGAAGCGCCACTTTCATTGACTTCGCTTCAGCAAATAGTTTTTATTCGAAACGTTTGGTGGCAGTACCATTGGGTTGTTAATTGCTTCGCGGCACGCAATACTTGACACACATTTTTTTTGCAAGAAGTGCATTCACTATGTGCGCGGCGTAACTGATTAGATTGTGTGGATGTAGGCTTACGGTACAAAGAGTCAAGTTGTCCTTCCGCAACTAATCTCTTTTGCAATACCTTAAGCGTTTGATTTGCTGCGATTTATCTATTTATAGTTCATCCATGCAGTTCCGGGTTTCATTTTAACTCAATCTTATGTGGGGAACTCAATTGCGTGCACTATTTTTGTATTTTACGCAGCCTCAGGTAATTCTATATTTAGCTAGAATCTAGTGTGAAAAGATATCCTTGACAACATTCTTGTTACGCAGCAATACGCATTTATTCACATTTTGTTTTTACAGTAGGCCTAGTGTCTTGTAATTTGTTATCGATATTTGTTTTACTTTTTAATAACGATAAATATCTATAACTAATATCGGTACTGGTATATGCGTCGATAAAGTTATCGATAAATAGCACAGTAGGGGGCAATAATATCAGAGCTAAATGGCCAAACACGTAAACTTAATTTTGGTCAAAATTTAGAGATATTTAGGTCCGTTTTCGTAAGTAACTTTTAAATTTATCTGTACTTTAAACATAAATTTTTTCAGAAAATATTTGTAGATTTCGTAGATTTTGAAACCTACATAAAATAAAAAAGTTATATGTTTTTACTGAAAGAAGTCTGATAACGAAATGTGGTGATTTCCAAAATAGCTATCACTTCTACCATTTTTTCAAATTATTGTTGCTTTTCCACAATACATTTTCATTAAAAAACGTCCT